CTGCCGCACCCTACCCCAGGACATGACCGAGGAGATGGTGAGCGCGATGGTGCTGGAGCTGAAGGGCAGCTACAAGATACAGTACCACGCCAACGGCCACGACAAGGACCCCGTGGAGATCGACTTCACGCCCCCGTGGTGGGCCGCCATCGCCGGCGCTTCGGGGCTGCCCTGCTTTTTCTCCGGGGGGCGGGGGCGACACCCGGGTGCTTGCGGGGCGGCCGCACCCGCCGGCGGCGCTCTGAACCCCTGAGGGTCCCAGCTTCGGCCCTGGTGCGCCTCGGCCTCGACAGCGGCCGAGCGGCAACGCGATGCATACAGTGGACGAACCAACACAACACCGTCACTTTCCAACCGCCCCTCCCACCGCCCATCCCCCCCGCAGGCGCCGCATCAGCATGGTGTCCGGCCTGGAGGAGGCCCTCAACGTGAAGCTGCCGCAGCCCCTGGAATCCGAGGAGGCGCGGGTCTTCCTGGCAGAACTCTGCGCGAAGCACGGCGTGCAGTGCCCGCCGCCGCAGACGACGGGGCGGCTGCTGGACAAGCTGGTGGGGGAGTTTTTGGAGGTGCAGTGCGTCAACCCGGCCTTCATCTGCGACCACCCGCAGCTCATGAGCCCGCTCGCAAAGTGGTGGGCGGGGGCGCCGCTGACAAACCGAAGCGCGTCGTTCACGGGCGGGGCTCGGACGGGTCGCGGGCGGGGGGCCGGGGTTGCATGGTGGTGGGGTGGGGGCGTGCCTGCCGCGTGTCGGCTGGCGTCGAGGCCCGCGTGTGGAATTTGAGCGGCTGACGCCCCTGCCTTTTGGGTGCTGCCGCCCGGCCGCGGCCCCGCAGGCACCGCAACCTGCCCGGGCTGACGGAGCGCTTCGAGCTGTTCGTCAACACGCGGGAGGTGCGTGTGGGGGTGGGGGTGGGGTGACGGGCGGGGTGACGGGCAGGGTGACGGGCGGGGTGATGGGCGAGGCGCCGCGACCCACCATTGCGCCCCGGCCCTGGGAGTCACCGATGTGGGGCCTCCGTCCGCGCATTGACATGGGCATCTGCAACGCGGCGCGGCCCCTGTTGCACCCCTCCAGACATTTGACAACCTTCAATTGTCAACCCCAGCGATGACAGCGTACGGCCCAACGTGCGGAGTTAGCGCCCAAATCCCCCCCTCCCCC